GGGGGGGGGGGGGGGGCAGCCGGGTCCAGGTCTGGCTCTCCAGGTCCAGCACCTCGGCGCTGTCCAGCGGGAGGCCGGACTCGTCGCAGCCCCCGAACACGTAGAGCAGCCCCCCCTGCAGGAGGGGGGCGCAGTACACGCGGCGCTGCGCCATGGGGGGGAGCCGCGCCCACCGCAGGGACCGGGCGGGGCTCACCGCCATCCCCCGCTCCGGCATGGCTCCGGGGCCGGGGGCAGGGGGCGGACCATCACCCGGGGGGGGGGGGGGGGGGGGGGGGGGGGGGGGGGGGGGCCAGACGCGCGGGGGGGGGGGGGGGGGGGGCAGGCTAAGGGCGGGGGTCCGAACTCCCCGGGAGGATTTAAGGCAGGTGGGGATTTGAGAAGAAAGAGAAATGAGAGCTTTTCCCCTGTTCCCACCTCTAATCTGAGGTTTTATTCATCCGGATAGTGGTGTTTTCTGCCCCCCCCCAGGACCTCTTCCCCCCCTTTGAGAGATATTTCACCCTCTGTTTTTGTCTCTGGTATATTCCCGGCGAAGGTGCCCTCACGGTTAGTTCTCAATATCCAAAAAAAACCTCTCAAAGTCAAGAGTGGAAGGCTTGAATAAACAAAAACCGGCCCGGGGGGGTCAGATCCAGTCGGGGGGGCGCTGACCTTTGACCTGTGGCCCGATTATCCCAGATAGAGAGACTTCAAAGTCGGGCAGTTTTAGGCCCTCAGACAAGAGAAAAATGGCTCTGGGCGTCCAGTTATCTCCATTTTCACCGACAGAAAACGATTAAAAAAGTCCTCGGTAGATGAGCAAAAGTCTTTAAAGAAAAACTCTACAGGAGCGTAACAACTGGGACGTTTGCTCACGTTTTAGAGAAGTTTTTCAGCCTCTTTTAATGAGGGAGTTCCCGGTCCTGAGACTCGCTGTAAGGCCTCTGAACTTTCAGCTCAGATCGGATCGTCTGGTGAAGCCAAACCTGTCGGAGAAAGAAAGAAAAGGCCAGGTTAGGCTGTTATGTTACACAACTGGAACAAGCTACCAGCAGAACTCAAAACGGCCCCGACTGTAAAAGCACTTTTAAATCCAGGTTAAAAAAATTTCTCTTCTCATGTGCATATGGCTGAGCTTTTTTAAATATATATATTTTTTTAATGTGTTCTTTTTAACATTGTAATCTTGGTTTTGCAAAAATCACTGGAGCTGTAACAAACATATTCCTGCTTTTTCCTTTTTTTCCTGTTTTTAACTGTGTTTTAAGCTTTTTTTTTAAAATTGTTTTTTTTATTTATTTTTTTATGCTGTTTTATGCTGTTCTTTTTTATTTAAAATGTCTTGTCTTAATGTAAAGCACTTGGTTTGAATTGCGCTATATAAATAAAAATGCCTTGCCTTGCCACTGAAGTCAGCAGCTGATGCCTCAATCACACACACACACACACACACACACACACACACACACACACACACACGTCTAAAAACAGACTCCACCGCTCTCATTTTTACCTTTCCCTGTCAGTTTTATATGAATATTATAAGAAAATCCAGCTGGGTGATGATATTAATGATTATTTCTATGTCACAATAAGCTTTTCCAACATTTTGGAGTCAAAGGATTTGAAATATTCTGTAGCTCACTGTTTGGTGCTGCATGCAAATTTCATTTCGAGACCCGTTTTATGCACATTTCCACACTTTCTTGACGTCTCTCGGCAGATATTTGCATATGACTATGATTAGAGCTTTACAATAACCCCATTACCCCAACTAACCCTAACCCTAACCCTAATGCGTTGGAACCATTTGGCACAGGACTGATAGCTGCACACTTTCAGTTCTTTCATCATCTCTGCAGCCGGGTTTGGATAAAAAGGAAAATCCGAATGGAGCAAAGACGTTGGTTTGGACTCCACCTGAAAATCTGAGGCTTTTAGGTTTGAGCTCTCTAATTCACCTTTTCTCTCCAGTCTGCTCCCTTTCGCAGCAGTTCAGACAGAATTCCTGCTGTTTTTCATAAGCAAAGTGTCCTCTCACATCAGCTCTGCTCACTTTTCTAGTCAAACCTAGCCAACATGCTCTGAACGTGGAAACAGCTATGCTTTACATATATTTTTTTTTAAAGAAATCGGTTATTATTATGTCAAAATACACATTTTCATCCCTCTGTCCTGTTAGCCATTCTGAAAAATCAGAAGTGTTCAACTAGTCTAATGCACAACAGGAAGTTACTGCGAACTTTCCAAGACCAAAGTTAAATTCATTATCATTTATTATAGGTCACTTTACTGAACTATTTATTTAACCATAATTAAAAGTCCTTATTTAAAATTAAATCATTCAAAACAATCTATTCAATTTACATTTCTAGATTATTAAAGGTTGATCTCAACGTTACCTAAATCATATCCCAGTTATTTGTTTTATCTTCATGCGATTTGCAAGTAATCCGTGTGGATTTATTCCATGTAAATGTCAATTTTATGCTTATATAAAGAGTAACAGGAGCCATTAGAGTCCACTGATTAATTCATTAATTGGTGTGAATATTGGTTTTCTCTCACACACACACACACACACACACACACACTCACACACACACACACACACACACACCCACATGCAGTCATTTCAAACGTCGCCGTTACATTTTTAATTTTGTTATTGTTTTTAAAAATGAATCTATTTAATAAGATAAATAATAATTTGAATGAGCTTGAGCTTTGGGTCTATTTTAATGGATAAATCAGCCTTTAAATCTTTCCCGAAAAATGCAACTTCTGTGTACACATAGAAATTATATTAATTATTTGAAAATGTAAACAGCCGTTCCATTAAAATAAACACTTTTTTGATGGGCGAACAAGGGAATAAATGTATGAGCTTTTAAAAATGATTTTCAGATTTGGCATGAGTTTTCAGTAAAAAACAAAACAAAATCATCTTTGGTATCTTGATTTTGTTATTTTATTTGGGAGACTTACAACGAACAAATGGCCCAGGCTCGCTCTGGTTCGCTTTAGA